TCCCTTCCCTGCTCCAGGAGCGAGGAGGCGCCGCAGCCTTTCCCCGGCCTCCTGGCGAGCAGGGCGGCTGCGGTGTCCGGGGACAGGTCCCGCGGCGCAGCGGTGAGGGAGAGCTGGGCTGAGCTACTCTGATCCCCGTGGGGAACCCACTCTAGCGGGAGGCTCGTTTTATGCCTTTTTGTCTTCTGCAGGGTTTGTTCTGGGGGGCGCATTCGGCGTGTTCACAGCAGGCATCGACACCAATGTTGGGTTCGATCCCAAGGATCCGTATCGCACCCCGACCGCAAAGGAGGTCCTCAAGGACATGGGGCAGCGAGGCATATCTTATGCTAAGAACTTCGCCATTGTGGGCGCCATGTTCTCCTGCACCGAATGTCTGGTAGAGTCTGTGAGTAACGATTTCCTCAGCATTTTAAAGCGTCTTCTTGTGTGCATAGCAACTTCTTTTACTAGATCTAAATAAATATGTATTTCCCTTTAAAACGAGGGGGCGCAGACAGTAATAGGCTAAAGTTTGTTCTGCTTCTTGGCCATCAAAGCTTTTCAAACAGCAGTCTTCAGAACTGCTGTTTTCTATGGTGGAACAAGCAGAAGGGTGCTCTGCTTCAGGTCCATGCGATAATGAAGTGCTTGTCAGTTCAAGGCCTGAATGCATTGGCACGTATAAACAGTACTGTTGAAACTCTAGCTGCAGTTACTTGTTTTTAACTTTAAAAGGTCAGTCTGTGACTTGCAACCTGGTAATTTGAACCTATAAAAATTTCAGACACAGAAAGGGATCCTTTGATGGAAATTCTTAAGAAACAGGCCTTTTTTCATCCTGCCCCTAAAGCAAAAAAAGACCTTGTACAGCTCACTGGTGAATCTCTCAACGATTTACTTAAATAGGAAAATTAGCCTGTTTTAATTTTCAGTGCTGCCTTTTCATTGAAAACACAATTATTTCTTTACTCATCTAGAAGAAAAGCGTATTCTCGTGCGTAATGGACCAGTACATAGAGATCTCTGCACTAGTGAAAAGTTAGTATGCTCTGGCTATGGAAATAGTTTTATCTTCGTCAGCAGGGTGCTACAGCCCGTGCCCGTGCTGAGAAACGGGCTATGTGGACAGGTTCAGTGTTGCATTCGCATGATTATAGTGCCTTCAAACATCTCTTGAGCTGGCACCTCTGCACAGTGCTGTGTTCTGGGAGCTGTATCAGATCACCTGAGAGCCACAGCACTGCATTGCACCATATGGATATGACTTACCTCTGCTAGTGACCCATTCCTTCCCCTCCTCCCGGCCCCAAAAGTCTTACTTTGGAAAATGCAGGAGGCCATCTGCTGAGAACAGAGGGAAAAACATCTTCAGCTGGGAAGGGACTGGAAAGGCGTTTAATATCTGTTGGCATTAGCACAGATACTGAGTGTTCATTCCATATTTGCTTTTTGACTTTGATTTTTCATTCCACAGTATCGTGGAAAGTCAGACTGGAAGAATAGCGTTATTAGTGGCTGCATCACAGGAGGAGCAATCGGCTTCAGAGGTTGGTAGTGACTGCTATGGGTTGTTTCTGTGATGAGTCTGTAATTTGATTAAGTAGCAAGCAGCGTTTTTAAGGCAACGCACAAATCTTTTGGGGGTTATGATGATGTCAACGTGAGCAAGTATTCCAAACTGGCAGAATTGCTATCTCTATCACTTTCCTGTCAGCTTGAAAGATTTGCGTGGGTAGGAAAAGCTGGTCATACAGGACAGTGAGATATGAGAGAGGAAAAAAAAAAAAAAAAATCAACAGAAGTGACTTGAAAGTAAATCAGAAAATGCTCTTTGCTATCCACACTCTTCTAGGGTGTCATGGGGACGGAGCCAAAAATACACAGTGAGCAACTCACTGAAGTTATAGCTTTTCTGTTAACAGAGCTCTACTTTATATATAGTATTTCACTGGCAGGAACTCTGTTAGCTTGAACAATGTGTAAAATGCTACCCTCCCTTCCCTGAGATAAATCAAACAGGCAATTCTACCTGACTGTACAAGAGCAGGAGCACTGAGATTTTAGTCCATCAGCCACTAGTGGGGACCTTGCTGGGAAGCCTTACGCGTAATGACAGCTGGAGAGAATCCACAGGGCTGCTCTGCTCATCAGAAAAATTAAACAACTCTCACCTCTCCTTTAAAAAACAAACAAACCAAAAGCTGCCCAAAGAGCATAAAATAAAAGAAAGTGCTCTTGAAAGCAGTCCTATTTGAGCTTGTTACACTGTGTCTATCCTGGACGTATTCCTCCTAGAGCTTTTAAAGCAGCAGCTGCTCTTCCTATACATCTGTTGTCCAGCAAAGATGCTTGCAGCGCCCAGATCAGAGTGCACTGAAATCATGACCACTGGAGTTTTCTCTTCTAGCCCTTGGGGGGAGACTTGGCAATACAGAGGCCAGTCAGTGTGTTGAGCTAGTCCAGCCCTGGGAACGCAAGTCCAGCATGTGCCGTCCACTTGGGCAGTGGCAGTGCCAGCATTCCCTGGTAGAGGACTGTGAGGTTCCTGCAAGTGTAAGCTCTTCAAGCCAGCAGTGTAAGCTAGTTACTGGGAGGAAAAATATATTTCCTATTTTGTCTCATTCTTTCCCATCCCTTCTGCGTTGCAGCTGGTTTGAAGGCAGGGGTTATCGGATGTGGTGGATTTGCCGCGTTCTCCGCAGCAATTGATTACTATCTACGGTAACAGCAGGATCCCATGGGGCAAGTTTCCCTTTTGTTCCAGTGCTGCTGGTAAGAGCCTACATAACAGCAGAGGAACCATCAGGCATACCTTTCCACTGCCTCTGGAGTCCTGATCGGTGCAAACTGGAGAGCACTGGCTGCTTTTCCTGAATGACTAACAATAATCTGGCTCAGAGCCTTGGCGTGCTGCTTCAGGCAGAGTTGCGGGAGTGTGTGAGGATGGAGCAAGCCAGACACAGTGAGCAGTATCACCAGTATGGATCAGCTGACTGTCAGTTTCCAGGAATCAAGCCTGGACTCTGAGCTTTCTAGATCCTTGGAGTCTGATTTTAATTAAATCTGTTGCTAGCACTGAAAGAGGCAGGAGGACAATCTTTGTGAAGAAACACAGTGGTTTAGGTTACCATGTATTTGAACATGCTGCAAGTGTTTAACAGTTATCAGTTTGCAGCTTGCTACTCTGTTGGGGAGAGGTAAGGTCCTGTGGAGAAATAGTTTGTTCCAGGCTTTTCTTAAAATACCAACCGAAGACAAACCACCATCTGTACAACTTGTCTTATTTCAAGTACAGAGATGAGAGCCAGATTTCTTTACCATGTTTTAAAGGGAAAAGCAAAAAGGAATCCTTAGTGTGGTTACTGGCAGACGAACAAGACAGTTTAAGGGGAAAAAAGGGGTAGCTGCAGAAGTATAATTCTCTGTAGCCACTTGGCTAGCCTGATTTAACCTCGCTGTGGGAGTACAAATAATCTTGCTACTGCTTTAACTGCTACAGGCTCACACCATTAGTTCCAGCAGTTTGATGGCTAGATTAGAAAGCAGAGTTGTAAGAATAAACTGCAGTTGGACTGATAGCGAGGCATTCACTTAGCACACAAACTGTTTCCCATGACGTTCTTGCACCACCCCCGAGTGCCCCAGTATTACCCTGGGGAGATCAAAGAGTCATTTCTGCTGTATTTCTGCAAAACATTGATACTGAAGTCAAAACACCTGTTTTTGAGCTCAGGGAACTCCCTTTTTCATTTGCGCTTGTGTTAGGTCTATCTTGCTTTTATAACCAAACGCTAAAAGCTCCATTGTTATGCCTCAGGGGATAACTTTTAAACTCAAAATTGTTTAGAGTGGTTTTAACCTTCCTTAAGCCACTCTGCAAGGGAAAAACCCATTCTTGTGTTCTAGAGGCACTGGGATTTCAGATGCAGTGTACTCCCCTAATGGGGGTTCCCCCCACTACTTCCCATTCTGCGCATCCGTGGTTTGGCATCCCAAAACAGTAATAGCACTTGCTTACCTGGAAGAGCAACACCAGCAGGTTAGCTTGGCCGATAAGTTGGTCATTTTGGAGGCATATTGTCTCCCATGCCCACATAGACAAAAGCATGTGATCTACCAGATGAGGTTTGCAAATCGCTTGCTCTCCTTTGCTGTGCCTGTCCAGTATCCTCAGGCCAGACGCTGTGCGAGTCAGCTGAATTTGAAGCTTTAGTAATTCTGGGCTGATTAAACAGGCTGGCTCCAGACAGTCCAGGTTTTTCCTCCAGAATGTACAGCAATGCAAGGATGTAGCCCAAACCATAAGATCTCTCTTAAAAGATTGCCTGGCACGATGCCTGTGCTTGTACCACTGGCTTGAAACACAAAATAGCAAGATATCCATGTCAGGGGAAGACGCTATGATGCCACGGCGATCAGTTAGCGCAGAGAGCAACACCACAGGGCTCTTTTGTGCAAATGTTGGGGCTTTGCATTTTTATTAACATTTTTTTTTCTCACATGGTTTACAGCCATTTAAAGTTTATAATCTACAGAAATTGAAACAGAACACAAACAAAAATATATCCTTAACAACTTTTAAAAGTCAAATATTAATTAACAGTTCTATTCTACCCATAGCTGCAAAAGTCCATCCCCCCCCTCCTTTCCCTTCGGTAGGGACAAACAAGAGCCAGTCACTGGGACGGCCGCAGCCTGTTGTGGCAGGGCCGTGTGGACCAGGCCTCCAGCCACTGACAAGCAGGCGGGGGAATTGGCTGTAGAGAGTCTCCATCTGGAATGACACTATCATGGACAGAGACTTGGATACATGTAACAAATCAGACACACACAGGGATCCCTTGTGCAGTCAGATCTAAAACTCAACCTCCTTACTGAGTCCAGGGCCAAGAAAGACGCCTGGTTATTTTCTACAGTGCTGTTTCCCTTCTGTTTAGCTGGTAGTCAAGAGGAGCAGGGTCTGGAGTGTGAGCCCTTTAGAGGGGGACCGAAAGGCCTCCCCTCCTTTAGTTGCGTTGCTGGTGCGGGGCTGGCAGGTGCCGCCTTCCCAGGGGAGGTGGGCTTGGGACATACCTGGTGCATCAGTGGAACGCGGACGGGCTCTACCTGGAACAGTCTGTTAGTCAGATGGGTAAAGGCAACACGACTGTAAGCAGGGATACACTTGGTCACTTCTGGTCCATCTCCATTTGGCACAGGAGAGACAGGGCCAACGCGATTGCAGAGGGGGCTTTTCCCACAAGAACACAGACTCAGCTCACAGAGCGAAAGGATTTGTTTCCCAACAGGTACCAGCACCTACCTGTAAGCCTGGGAGGGTGGGGACGTAACGAGAACCAAGCGCACAGGCAGCCGGAGCAGAGCCTGGCAGCAAGTGCATGCAAGCTGCCGCACTGCCTTGGGACACGGCTTGACAGCTCCAACCATCAGCCTTTGGGTCAAGAGCTGGCACTGTTAACTGAAATGGAACTGACCCAGCTGGGTGCACCTAACCTGACAGCAACTGCTTTGTGAGAAAGAGAGCAAAAGAACCACTTCTGCAAACAGTGCCTCCAAAGGCTTTCCCTCTTCTGGTCCCTCTGAACTGCTGTTCAAGCTGGGTCACTGGCCAGTTGCAGCGCAGATAGCACTTGCCTCCAACTTGCACTGAGGCAGAGCCAGTTGTTTCTGTTTGCCTGGTGTTCAGGGCAGCAGGGAAAGGCCAGGGAGGGTTAAAAAAAAAAAAACAAACAAAACTTTCCCTTTCTAGTGGCCCATGGCAGGCCACTCTGCTGGTTTGCAGCAAGAGGCTGCAGCCGGTTTTGTGGCCAGGAGTCAGTAACTCTTTTGGCAGTGCTCAGCTGGAGAGGGGCATGCATGCACAGCTAAGGCAGAGACAGCCTCTTGCTTGGCAAGAGTGAGGCCTACACCCTGTTCCCTTCCTCACTAGGGCTTGTTGGAAAAATTTTTGCTTCTTCATGCTCTGACAGTCATGGGCCAGAACAGAGGTCTGGGGTCAGCCTATGGCCAGAGGGAGCAGATGGCCCTGTTGGCCTTCCCTCAAGCCTACCATGGTTCAAGACCTCTCGTTCCAGCCTTGGAATAGCAGGTTACCCCAGATTGCTGCTCAGGAGATGAGAAACAGTGAGGGGAAGTAACCACCATGCTATGCACTCGCAGGCAAAGCACACACAAGGGCTATAGAGGAACTGGCCTGAAAGCACCCAGAAGAGATGTGGTGAGGAGGATGCAGCACCCTGCTCCTGTGCTCCCGTAATCATAGGTTTGCTCAGGGCAGAGCAGGGTCCAGGTGCAGGGTCCAACATTTGCGCAGGCAGCAAGCCAAAAAGGAGCAGCTGGTCGTCACTCACCGGGGAGGGAAGCCCTCGAGTTCCCAGCCTCTGAAGCGAGCTGGTGCTGCACATGCAGGCATGGGCCAGGCGAGCTGGGCAGCGAAACAGGCACTCATGGGACGCTGCAGGCTTCGAGCTGGGCGAGACGCGGAGGACGCTTGGTAGTAGTTAGAGGGCAGAAAGGAATCCAGGAGAAAAATAGCCAAGGGGGAAGCCTGTGTCCACAGCCCTTGTCAGTCACTACCTCTTCCGTTGAACAAATATACATAAAAACAATTCCTGAACACAAGAAGGGACATAAGACACGACTACTTTACAGAGGGGCACGGTGCCTGGGGTGGGACCATGCCACTGGTACGCGATTGTACAGGAGCTGCAGGCAGCACCATCCTGGGCCCAGGCTGCTCTCCCTGGGAGGGGGGTGGCCATCCAGTCCGTGTCCCCCAGCAGGGAGGCTGGGAGTGTTCGCAGCTGGGGCCTTCCCCCTGCAGGCTACACGTCCGTGGAGAAGTAAAGTGTGTTGCGCTTCAGCTCAGTGAAGGAGATAGGAGGATGCTGCAGATAGTAGAGGAGGACCTGGACCTACGGGAGGCAAACAGAAGGTGTTTGGGAAGGGCCAGAGAGGGGCAGAGCTGCCAGGTTCCAGTTTGTCTCCACACTGCCATTTCCAGTGAAGGACAAGTCTACCCAGACAGGCAGGTAAAAACCCTCCTCTCCAGCCTGCCACCCCTTCCCATGAGTGTCCAGAGGGCCTGGGCTAGTGCAACCTGCAGTGGCACCTGGTGAGCCCGCAGCAGCACTGCGCCTGCAAGCCTGCGCTCGGCTCTTGGTCGCAGAGTGCCCCCTGGTTCCAGGCCTGTGCATGGGGACGAGCACTCGCAGCGAGGACCATCTGGGGCAGCGCCAACCTCCGCAGCTGCGGCCGCGCACGCTCTGCCAGCCACGCTGCCGGGATGGGGCGGGGGAGTGAGCTGGGAGGACAAGGCCCCCCAAGGGACAAGGGACAGCGCTTTGTGGGGAGCTCAGGGCTGGCCCCGCCTGTGACAGGCAGCAGGTTCCTCTTGCAGCCCTCCAGACCTGCGCAGGATTTGGCCAGGCCAGGGTGACGCACACAGTCGTGTGCACGGACAGGGGAAGGGTGAGCCACAGAATCACAGAACGGGTGCGAGGGTGCAGCAGGGTCCTGGGCCTGCCCCACTGCAGGGGCCGTTTCCCTCCCTGCCTGGGGCCCACGCGCGAGTGTCAG